TGACCAGCCGGTTGCACGATTTTGATATAATTTAGGTATGTTCGTATTCATGTACGTACATGGATACCAATTTACATACATACTTACAGGTACGCATAAGAGGTGCGTAAAGATACCCTGTATGGTTGTATCATGAGGTGTGTATGGTATATGTATGTACAGTTATGTTTGTTCATTATACATACATCATACAAGGTATAGACGTCTAGGCACACATTAGCCCACAGATGTCTCTTTTTTTTTTCTCTCTTACTCTTCTCGCCCCTTCCTGTGTGTCCTCCTACTCTAAATTTGTCCGTATCTCGACTAAAGGTGTAGCCTAAATCATCAGCTAAAAAACCCGTAAGTAACTAGATACATAAAGACATACATCAATTAAGTACAAAAACCACGGTTAAATCTTAGATTAGATTATGTCTTGTCACAGGAGCCGGCAAGCTTCTGTCGTATACGGAGTAAATTAGTAGGGACTAGTACCTAGAGGGTTCGATCGACTCTTTTAGGCTGATAGTGATAAGTTGGTTAGGTATTATACGAAGGACTTCGTGAAGGTCCCTATTTTGTTTCTACAATTATCGTCCTAAGAAGACCCGAATAAATAAACAAACAGATAAATAAAATAGGTGAATATGAAGATATCGTATGGCATATAAGCATCGCCTATATCCCTCTATTCTCATGGTAATTTATAACATTGGTGATGTGGGTATATATACTATACAAAAGGTCTTGTACAGCGTAAAGCGTTGTTCCACATTGCTCTGCACTGCTACTGTCACTGTGTCGGCGGGGGTGGGAGAAAAAGGTTCCCACCACAATTGTCAGTACTCAGTGCTACCTTGTAAGTTGGAGCAAATGCAGATATATGGGTCCAACCGAGAAGCGAAAAGTGACTTCCGGGCGGGATGCGGACCGCCTCCCACACTTAGTGAGGTGACTGAAAGTTTGCTCGTGGGCCACTAAGATAAAACATCTCCGTGACCAAAACAATCGCTGCCCTCAATTTCAGGCACACAAGCGTCAGGCAGCGGTACCAGCACTGTGGTTGCAGGATTCGAAGCTTCGGGCGTGGCTCCCCTTCGAGTAGCGCCCGAAAAAAAACAAACCAGAATTGGCCCCAACCCTCCATTTCCGCAGGGTCACTAATCACGGCATTGCGTGCAGCCGCTCCGGCGCGGATCGACCGTGAAGTTCGTACGAAACTATGCCGGATTGCGGGTAGTAGGCAAGCAAGGAAATTTTTTTTTCATTTTCGTTTTTCATTTTTCTTCCCCATTTAGCATTTTCCCCTACTCTCGCCCCAGGATTTTCCTTAGCACTATACCGACTCTACCTGGTACTAGCTTCTCTCTCTCTCTTAAGTTATACATAACAATACAATGTTACATACATACCTTCCCCATCTGTACTACGTATCAAGGTCTTACTATGTACACACCATACTCGATCTGCATTCAGGTGGACATCACACATGACGTTTAATTTGAGCTAGGCATATATGCAGCATTTCTTAGGTACTGCTAAGAGTAAGGTAACAAAGAGATTATCCAGATCGTGTCAATCTAATCATCAACAGCATTGGAAGTCATCGCCGTAACTTTACCCCAAGCGCCGTGGTTCCTGTACATACGCATGCAAGTAGTCCATGCATCGCCGGGTACACATCCCATACTTACCGCGTGGCCGTATGTGCCCACTCTGTACGACGTTTTCTATGCGCCGAGTTCATGCCCATGTGATTCGTAAATAATAGACAAGTGTGATCGGTTGATCATCTCACCGCTTCCCAGACTCTCGGGTCCATGATGGTGATGCATGGATGAGTTCAAATTACCTGAGCTTCCTGCATTGTAAGTCATCGTGCATACGCACTTTTGGAGAACCAACTCTTCAGTACCTGCTCATTTGCCCACACGCCCTCATCTTTTCCTCTTTTGCTTTTTTTTTTTTTTCTTTCCTCTTCTTCTTTCCCTTCTCTCTGAATTCACATATAATGTACCGCCAACGTGTATCATGTTGAAATTATGTCTCAGAATGACTGGAGCGTTGACAGTCCCGTTTGATACGGCCTCCACCTTCATCGAGAAGCGAACTACTCGACCATCATTTCCAGGGACAAGGATAAAAGTCTTGCCTAATGAACCTTAGTTGAAGATTTCAATTTTCAGCGACCAACTAGTTCTTGGGTAGGCCACACTATTGGTCTCCCAGAAGCTTCAGCAACTAAAAGCGAGACACAGTCGCTCTTGCTCGGCACCTCTGGGCTGTGGAACAACGCAAGCCTCTCAAACTGCAGCTCAGTGACCTGCGCCGATTTGCCCCTCCGGGTGGTTAGTAGGCTCTCTCTCCCATCGTATCATTTGTTTTGTATCCACACTACCGTTTTCGGTACAGCATCCGTTGGATTTATCTGCCGGGCGCTTTGTGTGTCTGTCTATTCGTCCTTCCACTTGGGTCTTGTGAAAAATAGCTATAACTCTAAAAATTTTTGGAAACAGAAAAAAAAAAGGAAATAATAAATAATAAAAAAAAAGAAAAAAAAATTAGATCCCATCCCTTTCTTCTCCACTGATGATTTTAATCTTCGGTACCATATCACAGATTGTAAGCGCCGTCTACCATGTCTTTCTTCGTCTTGGGTCTCAAAAACCCAAATGCGTCAGCAGGTTGCCGGCTGGCCTCAAAAGCCCCGTAACGAGGTGTCAGAGTCCACTCTATCTTTTCCGTGTGTCGTCGTGTCTATCGCAGGACGGCTTGTGTTTCGTGTTTGACCCATTTAGTATTTCGCAGAAGATCAGGCGCGTCATTTCAAATTTGGAGCGACAACTCACCGACTTCAGGGCAGAAATGCGCATCCCCCAATCACACCAATGGTACCACCAACGGAGGATTGCCTATTCTCAGCGTTGTCTCGACCTTCACTTTTATGCGCATTTGGTTGGTAACCAATGAGAATCTCTTCTTTGTCCCCAATTGAAAAGGGTAGTATGCGATATTTTCCAGATAATACTAAATAGATACTACAGAGTATTTCCTGCCCCTTTGTTAATGGCCTGGCCATGACCGGTTTAGTGCTTTACTCGTTTCATTTTCCCCTTTTGCGAACCAAATGGTAGAAAAGAGCGTCTCGACCACAAAAAGACCTTCAAGTTCTACATCTTCCAATTTCCTTACTAAAAAGCCCCTGTGTGTTGGCTCTCAACTAACTGCCCTGGGCCAGGCATGAAGGGTACTACCCCGTTCGAGTCACTACATGAGGCACCAAATGGGCCACCTGCGTCACAGTGGGTTGAATAAACGACAATTATCCAATGATTAAGGTGAAGAATGCAATGGTTTCATCTCTACGACGTCCTTAAGAGATTATCGTCCTGTCAGTCACCGGCCCGGTTTGCTTAATGCTTCATGCCCCAAGCAGGGACACCTTTTTAGGAACGTTGAAACCACTTCGGGGTTGTTTTGCGGCAGTGCATATGCAGCTACTCCTGGATTCGCTGTTTTCGGAAATGGAAGGAACACTCCTGGGCAGAAACTGGACGATTCGTCTTCCCTGCCCCCCAATGCTCCACACTGCTATAATACTACGAATAAGCTCCTCTGGGCATTGACCAATCCTGTCGCCACTACCATCATTCATTGATTCATATCACTGCGCCATACAGTACCCTCGGGCGAAAGCCCTTATTCCATTCTGTGGTCGGTCAATATCCGACTCAGCGCCCGTCCAGTAGATCGTCGCTAACTCAGTCCGTTCTTCCAAGCTTCCCAGCATGACAAATATCGAAAAACCTGTCACCTTTGGTGGAATAGCGAACACTGAATAACTTGTTCAGTATACTGTCCTATAACGAAATATATCGTATTGAGTGAGAACCCAGGTGCGTTGGGATTTTAACTTGGTATTTTCATATATGGACAGTGGACTGCCCCCATTAACTCTCGCCCGGTGAGTTTCGATCTCCTAGGGTTAAAACCACAGAGCTACTGCGTCAATTTGAACTTGTGAAAGTACTCTGGAGCCTGGTCTCAACGCCTCAGGTTGCTGTGTATCCTGATCTCTACTGCGGCTAGCCGCCCGTCTCAGGTTAGAAAGCGGGGATGTATGGGAAGAAGTCTAGGGGGCGTAGACTCAACGGTAGTAGCCCTATGGGGGCACAGTTCCAGAGCCTGGGCATGCAGTCGGCTTCATTAATCATGTCAGGTGGTATTGCCGCTATCCTTGTTATAGTTTGTGTTCTAGTATATATATTCTAAACAATACCTATGGCCAACGTTCCTGGAAAAATAAACGGACTGAATAAAAATATGATTGGTGAGTTAGATAGCACAATCTGTCAGGAACGGTGAATAAAGGAATATAAAGAAAATGATAACCGGTAGTGGTTCAGTTTCATTCGTACTAGGTATGGATAGTAAGTACCTAACTAGGCTTGTGACCAATGTTTGAAGTTGTTTGTTTGGGTTTTTCCCCGTGCCACTCTTTGGTGCCACATACGTGAGGCATCCGAACGAAGGCCCCTCCCTGGAAGCAGAATCGAAAAAGGAAATTTCTTGGCTTTCGCGCAGCTTCCGCCAAAAGGCCCGAAGTAACCATCGGCGAATCCGGAAAAGAAAAAAAAGAAAAAAAGCAAAGAGAACAGGCCATTCTAAGAATCAACTGTCATATCCAACACCAATCTCCTTTCGGTCGGTCGCTTATTTCCTATCAGAGTAAGCCACGTCAAGGAAAAGACAAAGAAGTTGGTTTTAGCAAGAACTTTCCTGTCTGTCTTGATATCGCGACCCCCGGCAGCCACCTACTACCTGTGGGACGAAAGTAACAGACAGTCTTCGGCCGGTAACTAAGTCAGTAAAACACGCATTGCATTCTGCTTTTGCGGGGCTATTTATCTATCCCTCTGAGGCTGAGACTTCAGTGCCTTTGATTGGTCAAGTAGAAAATTGCCCTAAGACAGGACACCACACCAGGGTTTGTTATACTACACGATCATTGTCCAACCATGCATACACTCAAAGCCACAGCGTCTTCATCGCTCTCACTCGCTCAGGACAATTACATCTACTCCATTGCTTCATCAAGCCCAGGCTCATTCGCAGCCATTGCTTCGGACGACTCACTGCGTGTGTTTGACGCCGCTAGTCTTGGCCATGTCTCTGTGGTGGCTGCCGACGCCCACAAGGGAGTTACGTCGTTGAAATCGTACGATGCGGGTCAGCAACTGCTTGCCACTGGAGGAAGAGACGGGAGGGTGAAGCTTTGGGATCTGCGGAATGGCAAGAGGTCGGCAGTTGTAGAGGTGGAGACATGTAAGATTCCCTGCTTTCTTTCCCACCCTCCCTTGTTCTTCATTTCCCCCCTCCTTTTTCTTGCTACCTACGGCTTGGCTATGTTATGGCCCCGGACATACGTCGCACTGCCTTTTGAAGAGAACTTTTTCTAGCAACAAACATGGATACATCTTGATGTGTTGGTCAACTCCAACTATTCAGAGCTTACGATGCATTGGTACAGTCGACTGATTGCTAATCCCGCCTTCTCTAACAGCAAGGGACGCACCGGTTCTATCTATAGCCTGTTGTCCTGCAACAAACAGCCTCGTAGCCGGCACTGAGCTTGTTTCTTCCCAGGCTGTTGTTGCTTTTTGGTGAGTTCATCGCATTCCATGTGGGTTTAGCCACACATTTCCGGTTGACAATTCACGAGCTGCTAACTGACGTAACAGGGATGTCAGATCCCCGGGTCAATCTCGACTTCAGTATGTTGAAAGCCACAATGACGATGTCACTGAGGTAGGCCTACTCCTGTACCTTGGTTATACTTTTCCCCTAACAAACTTTCTTGATGAATCGCAGCTCCAATATCACCCAACGAGGAACAATATCGTGCTTTCCGGAAGCACGGATGGTCTAGTCAACGTCTATAACACCAATATTACAGACGAAGATGAGGCTCTTGTACAAGTTATCAACCATGGCTCAGTACATCATGCCGGTTTCTTAAGCGAGAGGACCATTTATGCTCTCAGTCACGATGAAGTCTTCTCGATTCATCCGGCTACGGATCCGGAAGAGGAAGCGCAGGAGCCTAATCCTGTGCAGTTCGGAGACTTGAGACAGCCCCTAGGCTGTGAATACATTGCTCAGCTATGCGTTGGCAGTCAGGGCCCCTATGTCGCCGCTGGCCATAAAATGTCAGTTTTTTTTTTTTT